CCGCCGCCTCCCCTGTCAATCCCGCCGCCTCCCCTGTCATCCCGCCGCCCGCACCACCGCCGCCACCGCCTCGCGCCTCGCCGCCGCCGCCACCGACCGCCCTCTCCCCTACGCCGCTCTGAGCGCGGTGCAGGGGGCGAGCCCCCGCGGCGCAGCCTCACCGCAGTGCACTGCGCTCTCCGCGCCCCTGACGATTAGTGAGGAGGTGGTGTTGCACAGCATGGAGCTCGGCGAGCGTTTAGCGAGCCCCTCAGCTAGTAAAGATATAAGGGCCTCGCGTCGTCCGCCGTTTATCCCGGTGACCCCCAGAACTCGCGGACCCGAGGAGTCTCGAGCTTCAGCTGGCGATCCATCATGCCGCTCTCGGCACCGCAGCAGCGCGAGCGCCGCGCCGCGCAGCGCGCTGCCGAGGCTCAGGACGCGGCTCGCGGGCAGCGCAACCGCCCGGCGCCGAGCCGGTGCTAGGCCGCCTCCGCTGCGCCTGCTTCCTTGCGCGCCGCTGGACGTCGGCCGAGAAGACCGCTTCCCTCTGGGGACCCGACTCCGCGAAGATCGCGCGCGCGTCGTGAGTGGCGGCGCGCGCGCGATCTCCGTTCCCGGGCACGCCGGTCGCAGTGGCATGGGCTCCCAGGCTCAAAAGCGCTCCCGTCACAACAGCGAGCGAGCGCCGCCGCTGCTCCTCCTCCCGCCGCCGCTCACCGAGACTCGGTGCCGCCGTTCTCGCCGCCGCCGCCGCCGCCGCCGCCGCCGCCGCCGCCGCCTCGCGCCTCGCCTCCGTCACCGCCGCCCTCCATCTCGCAGCGGCGCGTCCCTCTGATGGCGCGGGCGCCTCGCTCACCGGCGCCTCGCCGCCGCCCCCCCCCCTTCTCGCGCCGCTCCGCTCGTGGCCGCCGCCTCCCCTGTCAATCCCGCCGCCTCCCCTGTCATCCCGCCGCCCGCACCACCGCCGCCACCGCCTCGCGCCTCGCCGCCGCCGCCACCGACCGCCCTCTCCCCTACGCCGCTCTGAGCGCGGTGCAGGGGGCGAGCCCCCGCGGCGCAGCCTCACCGCAGTGCACTGCGCTCTCCGCGCCCCTGACGATTAGTGAGGAGGTGGTGTTGCACAGCATGGAGCTCGGCGAGCGTTTAGCGAGCCCCTCAGCTAGTACATACATACATACTTGAGAGAGAGCTCCCAGTAAGCTAAAAGTACGTGCACTTGTCACTTCACAATTACTTCGTCTTTGCACTTTGCGTTTGCCACTTCGGGCTTTGCAGTTCGTGCTTTGCGCTTCTCCCGCTGCACTTCGCACTTGCCACTTTGCACTTAGTGCTTCGTTCGGCGCCCCATACCGGTACCGGATAGGGATGGTGAGCCTAACTGATTGTTGTTGTATTTGAGCACTTGAGCACTGGATAGGGTCGATCGATTCCGCATGGTACGGGACCCCTCTTGTATTTAAATGAACTCGGGAACTGGTTGTTCTTCACCTACATACATACGCCCGGCAGGGTAGACACCGCTGCGCTGTAGTCTGGCGAACGCCGGTAAGCACCGAGCAGAACGCGTGCAAAAGAAAGCCAAAATCCAAACTGCAAACTTAGGTCGCTAGAGCGTGTCGACTCGTCGTCATCTCACACACATCTGTCCCGCGTCCACCCATACCGCGTTGGTGTCCAGTCCGAGCCTGACTGTTCTTCCACCTTCCTGACTACATACACACATGCACACGCACATGCAGGACAGGGTTCCCACCTGCCTATCCACAAAAATGGCCCTTTTCCCTTTTGGTTAAGGCGCTTTGAATGGGTGGCTGTGCTCTTCACTGAGCCCACGGCCACGGAGCTGGCCTTGCCATGCCGTCCGCCTTGCGAGCGTGCTCACGCACGATCCTGGGCTCGTGCTTGCACGCGGTCGCAGCGTCATCAAGGGTTCAAGGCTCCACGCCACGACAGGTCGTCGAGGCCCAGTGTCGAGGGTGTCGAGCTGCTGTCGAGGGGTAGAGGTGTCGAGGCCTGTCGAGTCCTGTCGAGGCCTGTCGAGGCCTGTCTTGTCCGTGTCGAGGGTGTCGAGGAGTGGTGTCGAGGGTGTTGAGGGTGTCGAGCGTGTCGAGCGTGTCGAGCGTGTCGAGCGGTGTCGAGTGTTGTCAAGGTGTTTAGCGTCTAAGGTGTCGAGGTATCCAAGGTGGCAGGATGCAGTTGCAGCCCATAACAAAACTTGGGCAGCAGTTGCAAAGCTGTTTTATCCATAAGTTGCAGCCTCTCAGTTGCACCCCTGTTGCTGTAGCACAACCTGTGAGCACAACCAGTATACTCTGTGGACATTTGAGGACATCAAGCTCACTAGTGCCAGGAGTCATTGCCACTGCACAAGGGGTGCTGTGCAGGCGCAGCACCTAAGGCTACAGCACACCCCAGCAGCAGCGTCGCCGCGCAGCGTCGTCGCCGCTGCAGCGCCACCGGCGCACACAGCGCAACTGACCACAGCGCTCATGGCACAGGCTGGTGCCATGAGTCAGTGGACATTGCAACGCGCAACTCTGCGCGACGGCGCGCGAGCGGCCTGGGTGCGCATGCGCGCCGCCCGCGCGAAGATCGGCGCGGCGGTACGGAGGTGCAGGTCTCTCGAGTGATCACCGGCATCTACATCGAACGGGATGGGGTGCGGCAGTACGTGACAGGTGAGAAAATGGCGCCGCTCTCGCGGCGCGACGTCTACATCCTGTCGCGCGCCGCCGACCGCGTGTGGTGGAGCTGGAACTACTTCGGGTTCATACTGGGAGAAAAGGGAGAAAGGGAGAGTCTCTCTCTCAGGGTGTATGTGGCTCTTACGTACATTCCCGTAGGACTAGGAGGACTCTGCTGACAGGGATTGCGATGATGGCGTTCCGCTCCCGACGACAGTGCGTCCCCTGCAACGCGTGTGCAATGGACGCCGTGCAGCAGAAGACGGACGAGCAATTCACGCTGCTCCAGCGCGGCCGAGAGCAGCTTCGCGCACGAGCCACGCAGCTGCAGCAGGACGTGGCGGGCCTGCAGAGGAGAAAGGACGCCCTGCGGCAGGCCAACGGCGGCGAGGGCGTCAACCCCCAGAGCACGGCCCGCCTGAAGCTCAACGTTGGCGGCACCCGCCTGCTCACCACGCGCGCCATCCTGACGCAGTTCCCAAACACGCGGCTCGCCGCGCTCTTCAACGGCTGCTACGAGAACAAGCTCACGCACGACCAGAAGAAGCGGTGAGTGGCCCTCTCTTGCGCGAGCCCTCTCCCGCCGAGCTGACCGTCCCACGCCCTTGTCCGAACGGGTAGGATCTTCCTCGACGTCGACCCCGGCTTGTTCAACGAGATCAACCAGTGGCTCATCGCGTGCCGAAACGCGTCCGCCCCGGGCGAGCCACTGCCGGAGCTGCCCGAGGTGGACCCGGAGGATAAGGAGGCATTCCAGCGTCTGCTACAGTTTTTTGGCATCGCCGACATCGTCTCGCCGCCTTCGGCTGGGCTGGACAGCAACATCCTGACCGACGAGGCGCACGTAGAGCAGATGTCCGAGTGGGTCGAGATGCAGGGCTCTCAGCTGCTATACCGCGCCTCCCGCGATGGCTGGGGAGCCGCCGATTTCCACGCCAGTTGCGACAACCAGGGTCCCACCGTGACCATCGTCCGCACCGTCAACGGCAACCTCTTCGGAGGCTTCGCCGACCAGCCATGGCACTCGAATGGGAGCTGGATCCACTCAAACGCCGCCTTCCTCTTCACGCTCGTCAACCCGGCGGGCGTGGCGCCGACCAAGCTGCCACTCACCGGCGAGTCCAATCAGCACGCGATGTATGGCGATCCCGAGTATGGGCCAACGTTCGGCGCCGGTGAAGACCTTTGCATCTTCGACTGCCCGAACTCAAACGACAGCAGCACTAGCATCGGCCACAGCTACACCATCCCTCCAGGCCAGAACGGCCGGACCATCTTGGCGGGGAGCAGCAACTTCAGGGTGAGCGAGCTGGAGGTCTTTTCGTGCAGCGGCATTGCGCAATCATCCTCTCTGTCGCGGCCCTCCGCCGCGTCGGCGGCCGAGGCGTGGGAGACTGACAGCTTTGAGGCGCTCGTGGGCACAGAAGGCACCATCGCCAAGACGCTCAAGGCCGAACGCAAGGCCCTCAGGCGGTGCATCCAGGAGCACGAGCAGAACCTGGCGCTCTTCGCCCTCGAGTCGGACTTCGTAAAATTCTTCGAGTTGGAGCCGGAGGACATCGTCACGTTGAACCTCGGCATCGGCGACAAGATCTGCACGAAGCGCTCCACCCTGATGCAGTGCGCGGACTCGATGCTCGCGCAAAAGTTTGACAAGGAGAAGTGGGCGCAGCCAGAGGCTGGCGTCAGCGACGACAGCGAAGACGAGGGCGAGCTGATCCAGCAGGACGCCTACTGCTTCAAGAAGATGATCAACCAGCTGCGCCTTGTTGCGATCGCACGCGAGGATGACCCACCGCCCCCGCCGATGGTAAAGGCGACCAAGCGTGGTCAGTTCGAGAAGCTGCTGACCTTCTACTTTCCTGAGCGTGAGGACTTCATCGGCGCAGGCTTCGGCTCGGCCATCCTGCAGCCGCGGCACTGGGCGCAGGTGGAAAAGTGGCTCGACGAAGCTGATCAGAGAGGACGGATGCAGCTGCTGTACCGCGCCTCCCGCGATGGCTGGGGAGCCGCCAATTTCCACGCCAGTTGCGACAACCAGGGTCCCACCGTGACCATCGTCCGCACCGCCAACGGTAACCTCTTCGGAGGCTTCGCCGACCAGCCATGGCACTCGAATGGGAGCTGGATCCACTCAAACGCCGCCTTCCTCTTCACGCTCGTCAACCCGGCGGGCGTGGCGCCGACCAAGCTGCCACTCACCGGCCGGTCCAATCAGCACGCGATGTGTGGCGATCCCCGAAACGGGCCAACGTTCGGCCGCAGAAACGACCTTTGCATCTCCGACTGCCCGAACTCAAACGACAGCAGCACTAGCATCGGCCACAGCTACACCATCCCTCCAGGCCAGAACGGCCAGACCATCTTGGCGGGGAGCAGCAACTTCAGGGTGAGCGAGCTGGAGGTCTTTTCGTGCAGCGCGTAGCTACTCGGCACCCCCTCCCCCCCGCCCCCTCCCCAGCAGCACGGAGCGCCAGGAGTGGAGCGTGTTGTGGCCGTTGACGGTGCAGATGAAGTCGGCGGCTCGGGGGCGACAGCGTTCCGGATCGTGAGCAATGCCACTTCGTTTCGACTCCCTTCTGAACAGCTACCCTGCACGCTCAACCGCATTGCGGACCCTTTACTAGTACAGGTTTGTTCGCGGACAGGTGTATTAGGTATCGTGTCCCAAAAAGTTTACCCACACCTCTCTACCTGGCTCGGCGAGGCTCCTCCACCCACCCGCCCCTCTCACGTCAGCTCGAAGCCCGCCCCCGCCTCGATGGCGTAGGTGAACTTGTCGCGCAGCGCCTCGAGCGAGCCGTACGGCGGCAGCTTCAGCAGGTTCATGCACGTGGCCGAGGTGGGCAGCCGCGACGTGTCCGCCGCCTGCAGTGGCAGTACTTGGTAGTATTGTCAAGGTCGGAGCGTGGAGGCGGTGTCGTGCCGAATGTTCAGAGCACCGCGTGCACACACGGGCTACGAATACAGTGCACCCGGCTGCAGCACGGCCGAGTACCGCGGAGGACGCGTCGAGGGCTAGTTTCGTTCGTGCGTATCCCCCCCTCTAGGCTCCGCCGCCAGGTGGATGCAGAAGGGCGGCTGCAGCCAGCCGAAGCCCATCAGCGGCGGCCGCGAGCACGACGTCGCGAACTTGAGCGCGGCGGCGCGGCGGGGCGGCGGGTACTCGGCCAGCACCTGCCAGAACCAGCGCACGGGCGGCGAGTCGGCGTGGTAGCCGCCTAGAGAAAAAAGAAACGCAATCGGCGGCAAAAAGCAGAAAGGCCGCGGCTCTCGAGCCGGTGGGGGGTAGCCGCCTAGCGCCAAAACACAAGTGCATCGGGACAAAGAAAGAGGCACAGCGCGCCGCGGGGCGGCGGGGTAGAGGGAGCCCGAGTAGGTGGCGTGCTGCCGCCAGTCGGCGACGTTGAGCGGCGCGTCGGAGCCGCCCAGAACCAGCTGCAGCTCGGCGACCGAGAACATGCGGATCCACTCGCGCGGCACCACCTGCCGGGAGATGTGGGGGAGATGTTGGGGAGATGTTGGGGAGATGTTGGGGAGATGTGGGGGAGATGTGGGGGAGATGTGGGGGAGATGTGGGGGAGATGTGGGGGAGATGTGGGGGAGATGTGGGGGAGATGTGGGGGAGATGTGGGGGAGATGTGGGGGAGATGTGGGGGAGATGTGGGGGAGATGTGGGGGAGATGTGGGGGAGATGTGGGGGAGATGTGGGGGAGATGTGGGGGAGATGTGGCGGAGATGTGGGGGAGATGTGGCGGAGATGTGGGGGAGATGTGGCGGAGATGTGGGGGAGATGTGGCGGAGATGTGGGGGAGATGTGGCGGAGATGTGGCGGAGATGTGGCGGAGGTTTGGGGCGAGATGCGCGCGGCTCCACCTGGGGAGATGTGAGGGAGATATGGGGGAGATGTGGCGGAGGTTTGGAGTGAGATGCGCGCGGCGCCTGGGCGAAGCCGCGCAGAAAGGCGTCGGCGGCCGCGCGAAGCTGCGTGTTGAGCCTACGAGGCGGCGGCGGCGCCTCAAAGACGGAGTCGGTGAGGATGACCTCCCTCCCTCCGCGCTGCGTGCTGCGCCGGTAGTGCGAGAGGTGGAGGATGTACTGGTTCCGGTTGGACGCGCTGACCCGCAGCGAGGCTCCTCCGGGCACGAGAGAGTGCGTCCGCCGCAGCTCAGGCGGCACCTCGGCGGTGTACTGGTCGACGGCGAAAGAGAGGCACAAGTCCTCGACGTCGCCGTCGTAGTCGCGGAGCAGCCGCAGCGAGCGCGCGAGCTGCGCGTCGAAGGCGGGCATGTCGTGGACCGTGTTCGTGCGGCCGAGGAGGAGGGAGAGGAAGAAGGGCGCCAGCGGCAACTCAACGAGGATGCCCTCCCACAGCGCCTTGGCGAGCACCGCACCGAGAAACTCGTACCACGAGCGTGCCGAGGCGCCGTCCGCTGCGTGCGACATGCGGGCGGCCGGGTCGGGGTAGAGGCCGCCCTCAGTGCCGGTGGCGAACAGGCCAAAGGACGGGTCGAAGCCCTCGCGGAGAACGTCGACGAGGAACTCCTTGGCGATGCCCTCGCCGACGCCCGCCTCCTCGCCCCCCTCCGCCGAGAAGAAGCGCACCCGCAGCGGCAGCCTCCACCCGCTCCCCAGCCCGCGCAGCTCCGAGTACGCGTCAGTCAGCAGCGAGCCCCGCCGCACCTCGATCGGGTTGTGCCAGCCGGCGAGCGCCGCCGCGGCGAGCTGCTCCGCCGCCAAACCTTCGCGCTGCGTCACCAGCCACCGGCGCAGCAGCTGGAGCCTCGTACCGAATGGGACGACATACGGCATGCCGACGAGCACGCCAGCCACGCGCCGCGCCTCGGGCAAATCCGACACTCCTCCGCCTCCGCCTCCGCCTCCTCCGCCTCCTCCTCCGCCTCCTCCTCCGCCTCCGCTCGACACGGCGGCCTCCTCCAGCGCGCGCGGCTCGAGCCTCGCGCAGACAGCCTCGACAGTGGTCTGGCGGACCCCGTCGGCGAGCCAGGCGTGGTCGCCGCCCATGAAGGGCCTCCGAGCGTCGCGGTCGTACATCTGACGCAGCAGCCGCAACAGCGACCCACGCAGCGCGGCCTGCTGCTGCTGCTGCGTCAGCGCGGCGCGGCCGCCGCCCGGTGCGCCCCCTGCGGCGTGGTGGTTCGAAGGCGGAGGCCAGTGCATCTCGAGCGCCGCGTCGCGCAGCGCAGCACAAATCTCGCGCAGCTCGCCCGTTCCGAACGGCTGAGAGGGTCGCGGCGAGGAAGCGGAGGGCGCGGCGGCGGCGGCGGCGGGAGCAGCTGCAGACGCAGAGGCGGCGCGCGGCGGCGCCACCGCCGCCTCCGCCGCCTCCGCTGCCTCGTCGGGCCCGAACAGCTGCTCGTCGTCGATCAGGACGAGCAGCTGCGAGAAGGCGGCGCAGAAGACGGCGAGAACCGGCCCTCCGCCGCCGTGCGCCCCTACGAAAAGAAGAAATGGAGCGCCGGTGAGCAGGAGGAGAGCCGGAGGAGAGTGGCGACAAGAGGAGCTGCAAGGCCGCCGCCGCCGCCGTGCGCGCTGTCGCCGTGCCGCCGCAGCAGCAACGCCGCGCTCCACAGGCCGCGCACCGCCGACGGGCGCCTTTGGTCAGGTACCGCGCGTTCAGCCGACTGCCGACGGACGTGTGGAGCAGTGAGGCTGAAGCGGACTGCCCGTCTGAGCCGAATGCAAGCGCGTTGAGGCCGGCCGAGGATCGGGGGAGCGGCGCCGTCCCCGTGGAGGCCGCGCCGCCGCCGTACAGCAGCGTGCAAAACGCGGCGGCGAGCTGAGTGGTGGCGGCGAGGGCGGAGGGCGACGGCAGCGCGGCGACGGCGGCGTGGATGGCGGCACCGAGCTGCGCCGCAGACCCAAGCTGCTCGAGCTGTGGAGGAGGTGTGGAGGGGGTGGGGGGGGGGGTGGGGGAGGTGTGGAGGAGGTGTGGAGGGGGTGTGGAGGGGGTGTGGAGGGGGTGTGGAGGGGAGATGTGGGGGAAGTGTGGAGGAGGTGTGGGGGAGGTGTGGGGGAG